GATGATTACAATGACCTGTGGAATTTAAATGGAGGAAGACTAATGATTCCCCCTATAATACTATGAATTAGATAGTAAAAATAGTATTCATGTTTTATAAAATGACTGACGTAGAGCTCCAAAAGGGACAAGTCACATCATTTGCTCAATGTCCCACTTGACAGCAGACACTAAAGTTAGAAGTGAGATCCCCTAATTTAGTGTAGCCCACTTTACAACCTGGCATTGGAGATAGATGTTGTCCTCTGTATACAACATATTGTCCCCTGACTCCCTCATCATTGCTAAAAAGGACTTAAAAACTTTGGGACTGAATGATCCCTCTGGTCTCTCATCATCTGAAGGCTCTTCAAGCGTTGCCTAGTATTTGTGTGTGTTTATATTTATATTTATACTAACCAATGACACAATAGCAGTCTTTATTCTCCAGGTGCCAAATTATCACACGCATGTGTCTTTTTATGGTCTAGCATCATTTTAGTAAAATTGCCTGGGTAATCATTCCATTTCCTCTTAGACTTATAAAAGTGGAACCACAGTCACTGCAGAAAGCATTAAGCATGTACAAGACTTGCTTTTTCTCAGACATATCCTGTACATTTCTGCTCCACCCATTTTCTTATACATCTCTTTACCCTGGTGGAACTGTCCTCATTTTCTAGTCTTGTCCTTTCCTTTGGAAAACACACCTGTCCTTTACACCATCACAAATACTGTGATGTTTGATTTTTGTGTAACCATTCTTGACAATTTAATTTACTACACTATCTCTTCCCTCTCCACACCAAACTGCAACAATTTTCTTTAGAGTTTTATCGGATTCCTTATATGCTGCCTTATTTATGGTTCTTTCTGGTTCTACCCTGCATATGAATACATATATGCATGTAAAATAGGACTGAGGATGTATCGTACTCATGTTTGTATTTAGTGCTCAGCAGTGTAATCATCTACAAACTCTTTTTTGTTTGCTTTTTAACTTTTTTTTTGGCAGTCCTGGGGCTTGAACTCAGGGCCTGGCAATGTCCCTGAGCTTGTTTGCTCAAGGCTAGGACTCTACCAGTGGAGCCACAGCGCCATTTCCTGCTTTTTTTTTTTCTTTCTGTTTCTGTGGTACTGAGGAATCAAATCCAGGGCTTCGTGCATGCTAGGCAAGCACTCTACCACTAAGCCACATTCCCAGCCCCCAACTTTTTTTTTTGTCGGTCATGGGGCCTGAACTCTGGGCTTCGGTGCTGTCCCTGAGCTCTTCAGCTCAAGGCTAGCTCTAGCACTTGAACCACAGGCCATTTCCAGCTTTTTCTGCTTATGTGGTGCTAAGTAATCAAACCCAGGGCCTCATTCATGCAAGCCAAGCACTCTACCACTGAGCCACCTTCCCAGCTCCACCCCTCCCCCCGACATTTTTTAAAGAAAGGTTTCATTATATAGCCTTGACCTTATGATCCTCCAGCATCAGCCTCTGGCTTACTATGATTACAGGCATGTACTGCCTCACACCACATGTAAACTTTTTCCCACAAATTTTGAAGTTAATTGCTAATGTAATGAAATCTTTTTCTGAAATGTATTCATCAGTAAACTGAGTGTAACCCCAAACAGCTTTGGGCAAAAAAGATTTCAGGATGATAGGCAAAACTGGGCAGAGATGAAACTGGTTTGCCTAAAAGAGCTATTGATGCTCAATGTATGATCTGTAACTCTTTGCTTCTCTGTATGATAAAGGATCAGACAATATAGTATTTCAAATATTTATTTGAACTGGAGGCTCTAAGGAGTCCCTTCAGGAGCTGTATCAACCTTCCCTCTACCAGAAGAACTTTACTTTTTATTTTTATCTATATTTGTATTGTCACATCCATATACGATTTTATTTAGCTGGGTGACCCAAGACTCCCTCATCACTGCCAAAAGGATTTGAAAACTTTGGAACTAAATGATCCCCATGGTCTCTTATCATCTGAAGGCTTTTCAAGCATTGCCTAGCATTTCTGTGTGTTTATGTTTATATTTATACTAAACAATGATGATTATGTACAAGGTATTTGTTTTTCTTACTCAAAGACTTAGAGCAAATACACACAAAAGATTAAATATATACAACATGAATGACTAAAAATACAATGCAGTTTAAATTCAATTAAATTATATATAGCTTTTCAGGGGCTGTTTTCTATCTGTATGTATTTCTTACTCCCAAGCTTGACAATTTCTACTTTGATGGTGTGACTCCATAGGGCCATTTTATAAATTAGAATACATGCTTTTTATATTCTAATATTATTCCTGAATATTTATGTTTAAGTAAAAAATGTAATGAAATTATTTTTTAATTATGTATGTAGCTTATCTGTTACTGTCTGTTAGGGCTTATTAAATGCCATTACAAAATCTTTGTCATAAGAAAAAGTTCTCAACCCTGAGCATACTTGTCTGTGCTCTACAGTTAAGTGCCCAGATGCTTAGAAATGACAGTTATATAATAAAGTATCCTAATAGATGGTAGATATTAATGTAGGAAATTAGGCAAAGAAAAGATTATTGTGGACCTAGATTATCATAAAAATGCTGATGGGAAACAAGACTGTTAGAGAGGAAGATCTTGTGTTATTGAAGCCTGGACACCAAGACACTTGTCATACCTTATCTTGAAGAAATAATGACCAGACTTATGAGAGAGACTGAGAAGGTAGTTTTTTTTTCTCCCAGGGCTGAGGACCGAACCCAGGGCCTTGCGCGCGCCGGGCGGGCGCCCTTCCGCTGGGCTAAACCCCCAGCCCCTGAGAAGGCAGTTTTAAAGTGTAGTGAATGAAAGCAATGAGAGTCTTGTGGAGGGGATGAATTTGTTTAAATTACACTGTGTGTGTGTTTGGAAATATTGGGGTGAAATACTCCTTCATACTCCAAACGTGTGTTAATTGAAAAACGTATTTAAAGATATTAAAAAGTAAACAAAAAGAAGGGAGGCCCAGTATATAATAAAGGTCCCAAGGCATTCATGTGGGGCAGAAATTCTTAGTTCATTGTTTCTGTCACCCAGTAGAGTTCATAAATGTGTTTCTAGAAACTCATGAATCCCCTGGAATTGGGTTTATCATTTTGATTGTTACTGCAGGGAATTAGGTTAATGATTCTCATTGCATTCTGAAAAGGATTAATTTCTCTAATAAGAGGGTAGAGCTAATAATACAGTCTGATCTGGACTCATACAGATGATTTCAGAGGCAGTGAATGGCAGGATGGCACTAAAGCTCAGTGGCTGTCTGGTTATTTGCTTGTTTTTCCATACCCAGCTGAAAGACATTGAATGGAGACTGAGGCAGGAGTATGTTACCCTTTTGTAGTAATTAGGGTGAAAATAAACAGCAAGCTTGGTTCAGTTAATTGTTTCTGAGAGTCAAAGAAGGATGGAGTTCACTTTAATCTTGTCAAGCTGAACTTATATATTAATTTTATAGCTGGAATATGCTGCCATTCGCACACACACAAAAATCTTTCTCTATGGAAGGCAGATCCCCAGAGAGAAAGAATTCTGAGACTATTTCTGCAACTCCTTTCCAGTGGCACTGTTTTTCTGACCTTAAGTGGCCCCCATTTTTCCGCCTAATCAAATAAAAATTACTTTGCATGACTTGTCAGTTTCTGCACTCTCATGGACTCTTTAGCCAACATACACCCAAAGCCCATTCATTCTGTCCTCCGTATCTTCTTGTGATTTCCCAGCCTGGACCATTATCCATTTTTCCTTTAGTCCAGATGCTTGACATAAGGTCCAGCTTCAATCTAATCTCCACAAAGCTCTTTCTAGTTACTCTTGGTCATTTTACATCCATTGCTTGTGCTGCACACCACAGCCTTCAGTTAAGCTTTTCATTGGAAGTGACTCATTCAGGGCTCACCTTGGGCATGGATTTCCAGGGAAGCTTCTGGATGGGACATACCTGACCCCTGCTTCAATGAGAGCAAGTCCACTTGATATGCACTCAGTCTGTGCGAATTTTTATTAGAGAAGATGTTTTATCGGGCACCTCCCATCCTGCCGAAGTTTGAATAGCAACTGAGCCAATCTTAGGTGCTAATTGCTTTTGATATGCTACTTGTAGCAGGGAGCGACCAGGACTTCATAGAATTTAAGCTGTTGGCCACTCTTTCCATGCAACTGGTACAATTTTGAGCCCAACATTGACCTTTGCAAAATTTATTTTTTTAAATTGTTTTTTATTGTGAAAATACTGTACAGGGGAGTTACAGTTACATGAACAAGGTAATAAGTACATTTCTTATCCAGCTTTGTTGCCTCCTCCTTTGTTTTGCCCTCACCATCCCTTCCCTCCCACCTCCCCAGCTACTCCCCCCAACCCGCTACCCTCACCTAAATTGTAAAGTTTGTTTTTCGACATAGCATCTTGTACATCTCATTGTCCCTTGCAAAATTTCTGTGCAATCAGATCACTGCTACTTAGAGACTACAATGTAGTCAACATTACCTAACAACCTTTAAATAACACAGAATAAGGTTTTTCATTGCTCTTTGAGAATTAAACCTAATCTGATAGTGTTCCCCTTCCCTTCAATAGTTTGGATACAAAACCCAATCCTATTTGAAGCTATCTTGTTTACATATACGAATTTGAGTGAAACTTCATTATTGTCATATTTTACATTCCCAGAGTTTGGCTCAGCTTAGATATCGTATTTATTCATTCATCTAGGCATTAACAAGAGTACTAGCTGCTTGACTTACAGAATGATGAACAGGCTATGAATAAACTTCAAAACCCAGAAATAAAATCAAATTCAGAGTTAGTACACTAAAAATCATTATGAGGGCTTCAAATGATAATGTTTGAGTCTTTCATACCAGTTATTTCAGCTTTCTGTATCAATTATATAAACTAATAAAGACCTGAGTATTTAAATGAATTGTGCTATCAACTTGTTAATATTCTTGTTTTTTTTTTTCCTGCTCTCTCTGCCTGGTTCATTGTGTTCATCTACAGGTGTTATTTTATTGTCAGCTTCCAAAGATTACTAACTTTCACTTTATCACTAAAATTCAACTGCCTTGGCTCTACTGCTCCTCTCATTGCTGCTTCCATTATTGCCTTCTTCAGCAAAATAAGGCTCTCAGAAGCCAAAGAGTAACAAAAAATAAGCGCCATTGTAGACACCACCCACCATGAAACTTAAACTAAATGTGCTCACCATTATTTTGCTTCCTGTCCACTTGTTAATAACAATATACAGTGCCCTTATATTTATTCCATGGTATTTTCTTACCAATGCCAAGAAGAAAAACGCTATGGCAAAGAGAATAAAAGCTAAGCCCACTTCAGACAAACCCGGAAGTCCATATCGCTCTGTTACACACTTCGACTCACTAGCTGTCATAGACATCCCTGGAGCAGACACCCTGGATAAATTATTTGACCATGCTGTATCCAAGTTTGGGAAGAAGGACAGCCTTGGCACCAGGGAAATCCTGAGTGAAGAAAATGAAATGCAGCCAAATGGAAAGGTTTTTAAGAAGGTAAAACTATTGTGCATTATTATTTTTTAAAGGATGAAAGTACATATTACTTTGTTATAAATGAACTGCATTTAGCAGTTGAATGTGTACCAGATTGAGTGCTTAATCCCCTGCACCTCAAAAAAAAAATTCAGTACAATTTAGGAATGCTGGCATTCTATTATAGTGCTATGTAATGAATTCTCAGACGGTGTTCATAGCATTTAGGTACTCCAGGGCCTTTTTAGACTTGTGTATTATTTACCTATTTGGATAAATATACTAATATTAGGGAATGTCTCACTTTTACAGTTAATCCTTGGGAACTATAAATGGATAAATTATCTTGAAGTAAATCGCAGAGTGAGTAACTTCGGTAGTGGACTCACTGCATTGGGACTGAAACCAAAGAACACCATTGCCATTTTCTGTGAGACCAGGGCTGAATGGATGATCGCAGCTCAGACCTGTTTTAAGTTCAACTTTCCACGTAAGTGACTTGTGGTTTCAAACGACTTTGATTACACATGGAATTTTGGTTTAAGATGCTTCCATTTTCAAAGCAGATGTTCTAGGCTGTATATAACTCAACAGTAAAATACTCCCCTAGCATGTGTCAGGTTGTAACTTTGATCTTCAGCACTGTAAAAGTAAAAGAAATGAAAACAAACAAAAAAAACTTTGCAGAAATCTAGGCGTAATTTAGACAATATTCTGCATGTATTCCATCTCTAAAATAGAATGCAACAGTGTGACTAATAGACATCCAGTAACTCCTATTAGAGATAGTAACTGGGCTGGGAAGGTGGCTCAGTGGTAGAGCATTTGCCTTGCATGCCTGAAGCCCTGGGTTTGATTCCTCAGCACCAGATGAGCAAAAAGAAAAAAAGCCGGAAGTGGTGCTGTGGCTCAAGTGGTAGAGCTCTAGCCTTGAGCTAAAGAGCTGAGGGACAGTGCCCAGGCCCAGAGTTCAGGCCCCACGACCGGACCCTCCTCCCCCCCGAAAAAATTCAATACATATGTTTTCTAGTAAGCATTTATAATTTACTTGTTTATTTTCTACTACATAGTTGTGACTTTATATGCCACACTTGGCAAAGAAGCAGTGGTCCATGGGCTAAATGAATCTGAAGCTTCTTATCTGATTACTAGTGTTGAACTTTTGGAAAGTAAACTTAAGGTAAGTATGAAGTTTTATTTTAAACTTAAAGTCATTTTTGACTAATACATAAAACCTAACTATGCATATGAGTGGGGAACCATGTCATATTTCTACATACATACATATACACACATTGCACAATATTTAAATCATGATAAATATACCTATTCTCTTCATTTATCACTTGTTTTTTTCATATTTTTTTATTGTGAAAATACTGTACAGAGGGGTTACAATTACATGGGCAAGATAATGAGTACATTTCTTATCAAGCATTGTAGACTCTTCCTTTGTTTCCCCTTCTTATCCCTTCCCATCTTCCCCTCTCCCCCACGTAGTCCTCCCCCCCACCAGGAGAAAACGGCTTGTATGTCTCATTGTTGCAGTTGGTCCACCTGTATCCCTATTTAAACGATTTGTTTTTTCCCTTCCCCTCCACAAATTATACCAACATCAAATATAGTGAAAGCAGGGGTTTTACCGTGGGGGAGGAACATACAAAACAACAAAGAAATAATCTTATAAATGTGTTAGAAACAATCGCCTGAAAGAAAAAAAACATTTGAATACATATCTTAGGGTTCATTTCCCTAACATCAACTTATCTGACCTTTTCTGCTTGACTCAGACATATACTAGTTATTGCAAATAAGGGAAACCATGGGATCTATGTTTCTTTATCATTAACCCCTAAAGAAATTTAAAGCTATCAATATTTTTTTTCTTCTTCATTTTTGTGCTTGTATTGGAAATGCACCTCAAAGCCTCTCACTCTGCTTTGGCTTTTCATTCACAGCTGGTGCTCTACCATTTGAACCACATTTCTAGTTCCAGGCTTTTCTAGTTAATTGGAGATAGCAGTCTCTTGAATTTGTCTGCCTGGGCTGGTTTCAAACTGTGATTATCATATCTCAGTCTCCAGAGTAGCTAGATTACAGGTATGAGCCACTGGTGCCCATCTCTTCTAGGTTTTTGAAATATACAGTCCATTATTATTATCTATAGTCAGTCTTCTAGTAGGACATTTGAATCTCTTGCTTCTCCTATCTCACTGTAACTTAGTTCCTTCTGATCAACCTCGCCCACTCCTTCTCCCCTGTTCTCTCCCTGGCCTCTGGTCACTGTCAACTTCTTGTTTTTTTAATTTTATTTTATTGTTTACAATATATGCTGTACAGAGGAGTTATAGTTACTGGAGTAAGGCAATGAGTACATTTCTCGTGGAGCATTGTTTTGCCCTCCCTTGTTGTTCTCCCCCTATCTCCTGCCTTTCTCACTCTTCCCCACTTCCAAGTTGTAAAGTTCATTTCCAATATATTGTCTTGTGGGTATCACGCTGTCTACTTCAATATATTGTCTTGTGGGTATCACGGTGTCAACTTCTGTAAGATCAACTTTTTAGATTCCTTTGAGGTCTTGTGTCTTCTTATTATCTTCTTATTCCTGGCTTGTTTTCCCATGATCATCTTTAGTTCCAATTATATTATTACAATAGACAGATTTCATTCTTTTTAAATCACTGTACCACACTTCCTTTATTCAATACTGAGTTGATAGATACTCCAGTTCTTGGCTATTGTGAATAACATTGTAACAAATATGAGAGTGTTCAGGTCTCTTCTGCATACTGACTTAATTTATTTTATGTATATACCCAGCACTGGAATTTCTGAATTATGTGGTACTTCTGTTTTTAAGTTTTTGCAGAAGATCTGTAGTTGCTATACTCATTTACATTCCCACTGATAGTTTATAGGAACTCATTTGTCACACTTGTATTTTTAGCCTTCTTAATATTCTCCTGGAGTGAGATGTTCTCAATGTGATTTTGATTTGCATTGCCCTGATGATTAATAATGTTGACATTTTATTATGCTTGTTAGTCATTTGTTTTCTTTGAGAAATGTGTATTTAGATACATTGCTCAATTTTAATTGAGTTATTTGTTTATTGCTACTGGCCTGGACTGTGTTCTCCCTACTTATGATTCCCATGTAGCTGACATGACAGACTAGTGCCACAGAACCCAGGTTTTGTTGGTTGTTAATGGGGGCTTTGTGAACTTTCTGCCAGGGCTAACCTTGAATTGTAATCCTTGTCATCATAGCTTCATGAATAGCTATGATTACAGCTGTGAGCTGTTGTGCATAAATAATACCATACTGTTTGGATTACTGCAATTTATAGAGTATTATGATGTCATATGGTTTGTGTTCTGCTTTATTCATTTTGTGCAAAATTACTTTGGAGTATTCAATTTTTGTTTAACTATAATATTGTAACAGAAATTGCGCGGAATCTGTAGATTGCTTTCAGTAGAACAGACATTCTTCTAACCATTGTACAGGAGTGTCTTTACATTTGTTTTGTCCTCTTCAATTTCTTTCATCAATGTTTTATAATCTTCATTGTAGAGATCTTTCGCCTTTCCAGTTAAATTTGTTCCTAGACACTTAATTTTTTGGTAATCACTGTCCTTTTATTTTTCTTTTAGAGATAATTTATTCTTGGTATATCCAAATGCTGCTGTTTTTTTTAAAAATGTTGATGTATATATCTACACTGTTGTGGAATTACTAGCTTGCTGGCTAATTAGAGACATGTGTCCCCCAGACTTTGTTGGCAGGGCTGACTATGAACTGTGATCCTTAGATCTCAGCCTTCTGAGTAGCTATGATTACAGGTGTGAGCCACTGGCTCTCAACTCTGGGTTTTTCTTTATGGGAGACTTTTGGTTACTGATTCAATATTACTACTTGTTCATTTTTCTATTTCTTTATGATTCAGTCTTGTTAAGGCATATGCATCCAGGAATTTGCCCTTCTAGTCTACCAAACTTGTTGGTATACAGTTGTTCATAATAACCTCTAACGATCTTTTGTATTTCTGTGGTATCAGTTGTAATACCAGCCTTTATATCTCTGATTTTGCTTATTCAATTTTTTTGCTTAATCCATATAAGTTTATATATTTTGTTTATCTTTTTGAATAGTGAGTTCATTTCTTGTTGGTCTTTTGAATTTTTTGTCTCTTATTACATTTATTTCTGCTCTAGCTTTTATTGTTTCTTTGTAGTAATTTTGGAGTTTGATTTTGTTTTTCTATTTCTTTGGGATGAATTAGTTATTTTTCTTTGAGCTCTTTCTGCCTCATGGACTGGAAGGAAACTTGCACTTGAGAGATAAGTGTTACCTGGCACTGTGATAGACCTCAAACCCTTCCTTTTTTTTCTTGTGCTAGTACTAGGGCTTGAACACAGGACCTCATGATCTTGCTTAGCTTTTTTCTACTACTTGAGCCACACCTCCACTTCTTGCTTTTTGCCTGGGCTGGCTTCAAACCTTGATTCCCAGCTGAGATGCTTGAATAGCTAGGATTATAGGTGTGAGCCACTAGTACCTGGCTTTCTTTTTTGATATAGATATTGATTGCTATAAACCTCTTTCTTAGTTCTGCTTTACAGCATCCCATAGGTCTTAGTATCATGTTTACATTTTCATTTGTTTCAAGAATTAAAACTTTTTTTCTTCCTGTCTTGATCCATTGTTTAAGAGTAAGCTGTTCAATTTTCACGTATTTATGTAGTTTACAAAACTTTACTTGCTATTCTAGTTTAATTGTCTTATGGCAAGAAAAGATAATTATATTTCAATGTAAAAATATCTTTGGTTATAATTGGAGTTTGAACTCATGCTTAAACTAGGCAAGTGTTGTATCACTTGAAGCCATGTTCTAGCCCTGTTTGTTTTAACTTTTTCAGATAGGGTCTTCTGATCTTGCATCAGGACTAGCCGCCTACCTTTTGTTTTGTTTTGTTTTTGGGTCCGGTCGTGGGGCCTGAACTCTGGGCCTGGGCGCTGTCCCTCAGCTCTTCAGCTCAAGGCTAGTGCTCTACCACTTGAACCACAGTGCCATTTCCGGCTTTTTTCTTTTTGCTTATGTGGTGCTGTGGAATCGAACCCAGGGCCTCATGCATGCAAGGCAAGCGCTCTACCACTGAGCCATCTTCCCAGCCCTAGCCGCCTACCTTTTGTATAGCTAGGATTATAGGCAGGGGCTACCCTGTCTTGCTTGTTCTTTGTGATAATGCCCTGCTAATATATTGCCATGGATGGTCTCCACTTTCCTAGTGCCTCTCATGTAGCTGGGATTGCAGGAATGAGCAATGGTTCCTAGCCTGAATTTCTAAAATTTTTATGAGACTTGCTTTTTGGAGAATGTTTCATGTGCTAATGAGAAAATGTGTGTATTTGCCAGCTATTGAATTCAAAGTTCTGTGCCCATTAGGCTAATTGTTCTAGGGCATAATTTAACTCTGCTCTGTTTCTTTGGGTTTTTATCTGGAGATATGTCTACTGCTACAATGTGAGCTATGAAGGTTCTCAACGTTTACTGAATCTATTTCTCTTGATCTATTAACTCTTGCTTTATATATTTGGATGTGCCAGTATTGCATACATATATACTTAGAATTGTTTCCTCTTGCTGAATCAAATCCTTTCTCATCATGTAATTGCCCTACTTTTTTCTTCATTGATTTTGATTAATTTTTTTTCTCTGAGATTTGTATGGCTACCTCTGCTGTGTTTTGGATTCCATCTTCATGGAATCCATCTTATTCTGTCCCTTCATGTTCAGTTAATTAGTGTCATTTGAGATGAAGTGAGATTTTATAAGCAACATATAGTTAGGTGTTGTCTTTTAAACCCATTCAGTTGTTCTATATCTTTTAATTGGAAGATTCATTCCATTTACATTTGATTATAAGTCTTGCTGCAGCCGTTTTGAGACTTGTTTTCTGGTCTTGGTGCAATGCCTTCCTTTTTTTCTATGTCTCATAGTCCTCCTTCTGGTTAAATGATTTACTCTAGTGACGTGTTTTGAATCCTTGGTTGTTGTTTATGTTTTATTATTATAGATTGTTTAGTGGTTATAACAAGCTATTTGAAACAATACTAACTTCACATAATCATACAAATAATAAATAAATATAAAAATATGCTAGTAAAAAATAATCCTGTATTACTATCACCTAAGATTTAATTTTAGTTTAGTTTTAGTTTTTAAGTTTTGTGATTGGTTCTTTCTTTGGGGCTCAGGCTGATCTGCAGCTTACTATTATTGTTATTTTAATTGTTTTGTTATTTAGCCTTCATCTTTTATGAATGGTTTATATACTATGTTGACAGTATTAGAGTTTAGTGGATTTGTCTACACAGTTGCTCTTAACAGTGAAATTTTATTATAATAGTGTCAACTGGTAGGATTGGAAGATGTTCAATAAGTAAATTTATGTGGTACCTCAGTTTTAATAGCTGAGCTTTCTTTCTGCTCAACAGACTGCATTGTTAGAAATCAGTTGTGTTAAACACATCATTTATGTGGATAATAAGACTGTCAATAAAGCAGAATACCCTGAAGGATTTGAGATTCACAGCATGCAGTCAGTAGAAGAGTTGGGATCCAAGCCAGAAAACTGTAAGTAGTTAAAATGAATTTATTCATCTATTCAAGATCTGATATTTCAGTAGGTTAGGAAAAATAGAAACAAAGTTCTTTGATGTCAAAAAAGTTTAAAAATGTTTAAAAGCTATCAAAACTACATATGGTTTAACATTTTCTTTCCTTCTCAAGAGGTAGCCATTGTTTAAAATTTGCTTAATAGTGAAGTTGTAATAAATGATTCAGACTTTTATGCAGTTTGTGCCAATACATCTTTTTTTTTGTCCTGGGACTGAACTCTGGGCCTGGATGCTATCCCTCAGCTCGTCAGCTCAAGACTAGTGCTCTACCAGTTGAGCCATAGTGCCACTTCTGACCTTTTCTGCTTATGTGGTGCTGAGGAATCCAGGGCTTCATACATGCAAGGCAAACACTCTACCACTGAGTCACCTTCCCAGCCCTGTGCTAACATATCTTTTAAAAAATAAACAATGATGACCTTCAAATTTGGATTGATAAAAGGAATACATCTCAGGCCTTACATTTAGTAAATGTTTCCTTTCATGCTTAGAGCTAGTGAGTTTATTGATGTCTCACAGAATGCAAAGCTGCTTACTAAGATTGATGCTTGGGATTTTTCTACCATTGAGTTAGTGACTGGTATTTCATTTCAAATAGGTAAATTCAGCTTGCAACAAAATATCAGTGAGTCACTGGGAAAGGGAGTGGTGGAAATTAATACTCCATTTAAGTTTTCTTCTATCGTTGAAAGTGAAGGTCACAATACTGTACAGATGAGTAAAGAATTCATGGGCAAGAGAAATGTTGGATGAACCTCTACTTAGCCTCTTGAGTATTTTACCACTAGAGAAGAAATATATGTTACAGTAGCAAATATAGGTCATAATGTACCTTTCTATCATGGTTGAAATGATAAAGCTGTCATTTTACCCTACTTGCAAGTGAACCTAACCAGATATTTTGGAGACAGCAGACTTTTAGGTCAGAGATGAAGGAGGTTTTTATTTTTATTTTTTTATTAAACAGTAGTTTGAGTTAGCATTTTGATGATAGACAAGGAACTCTGAACTTAGAAAAACCAAATCTCTTATTATCTTTATGATTCTGGACAGTAATCATACATACTGTGAGAGAGAGGGAGGAAGGGAGGCAGAGAGAGAGAGAATTTCTGTGTAAAAATTGCACTAAGCTTCTATTTGTAAGGTTTGCAGAAAAACAAGAAACCTATGGAGAATTATTTCTCAGTACCAGGGTGGCTTGGAAAATTCTGATTGGTGAGAATCTGTTGCCAATTCTGCTGATTCACCACCAAAGGACATTGGCGGAAAAGAGGATTTCTTTCATTCCTCATTATTTTGTTTCATCAATAAATGTTATAGCCCACATATCTCATTTTAGTCATCTCTAGAATACATAGGGTCTGTGTACTTTTGTGATTCTTATCTAAGTAGACAGTATTATGATGACAACTTTTGCTTGTTTATTCAAAGTGGACATGTATGAAGTTTTATTGTGTGGTTAGAATAAGAACTTTATTTCTTCTATTTTAGTTAATTTTCAGAAGAATTGCAGTCTATTTGCTTGGTTTATAACAATAACAGTAGATACCTTTAGAAGCATTTGATTCAGTTAGTTTATATGTATAACTTGGTCTTTTGTTACAGATAAATCTTGCTTTCTAGATTTTTAATTTTAACTGGTTTATTTTTAAAAAGTAAGTCATTGTCACAAATAGATTATTATTCTAATAATCTTGTTATAATAATAATAATCTTGTTAAGTTGCCTTTTAATTCTGATGATAATGCGTTTTGATTATTCTGGGAAGGACAGGAAGTTACTAGGTTAGTGTGATCATGAAAGTGGAAGCTCCAATGTGCCATTAAAATTTTAAAGACCAATTTCTCATGCTTTTCAATCAGGAGTACATCTGAGAGTCCCTGTAGAGCTTATCTTCTATTCCAGACATACAGAAATTGAACTTTGAAAACTAGTATTTTGTTTAAGCTCTGCCTGTGCTTTTAAGGTTCACCTGTGGTAAAAGCCCATAATCCAGTTCAGACAAGTCTTTTTAAAGATGAGAACACAGAGGCCTGAGGAGCTTATATACAAAACTCTAGTGTTTCTTCAAAGCCCTCAAAAAACTTCCCACAACACTAAAGACGGATGATTAGAGGGATTTTTGTTAAACATGGGCCAAATTGAACTTCTCATTGTAATCAGAAATCAATCACCAGTTCTATTGTGATTGTTAACTCAGATTACTTTCTTTAAATTGTTTCTCATTACATCAAATCAAAATACCTTATTGACAAGCAGTTTAACCTTTTAAATGAAGAAAATATGGTGTGTTTCTTTTTTCATTCATTTAGCAAGCATTCCTCCAAATCGACCATCTCCTTCTGACATGGCCATTGTCATGTATACCAGTGGTTCTACTGGCCGCCCTAAAGGAGTGATGATGCATCATAGCAACTTGATAGCTGGAATGACAGGTCAATGTGAAAGAATCCCTGGACTCGGGTAAGAGAGAATCATTAACCTGTATTTTTAGAAATACAGAGTTCTACGCTTGTAATCCAGCTACTCAAGAGGGTGAGATCTGAGGATTGAGTTTCAAAGCCAGCCCAGGCAGGAAAGTCTGTGAAACTCTTATCTCTAATAAACCACCAGAAAACCAGAAGTGGTGCTGAGGCTCAAATGGTAGAGCACTCGCCTTGAGCTAAAGAGCTGAGGGAAAGTGCCCAGGCTGTTCAAACCCCACGAAAAGAAAAAAGAAATACAGAGTTCATATTCAGCATTCTCTAAACTCAGTGTACATCGAAGTGATAAAGTTACCAATGTTTCCAATTTAAAATGTCCTTCTTTTGTTTTCTTTTTCTTTTTTCTCCTCCATTCCCTTCCTTCAGAGTCTCATGATGTGACCCAGGCTGGCATCAAACTTCTAATATATCTGCTTCCTCCTGATGCTATGATTACAGGTGTATACCACCATGCCTGGCTTTAATAATATGTCCTTTTCCAGATTAGTTAAAACCTTTGTCTTACTGTGTTTCAGACCAAAGGACACATACATTGGCTACTTACCTTTGGCTCACGTGCTAGAATTGACAGCAGAGATATCTTGCTTTACCTATGGCTGCAGGATTGGATATTCTTCTCCACTAACACTATCTGACCAGGTGATAAACCTTGCAATGTTTATTGTTATATTAAGTTATGTTGTTTGGCTTATTACTAAAACTTCAGGTATTTTTAGTTCACTCAGAACTTTCTCTTAGGCTTCATCAGGAGTTTTGTTTTTTTTTTTTTTTTTTTGGGTCCGGTCATGGGGCCTGAACTCTG